AAGTGCAAAATTGCAAGTGCGGATCTCAATCGGTAATTATAATATCTCCATTTTAATTTGCTTGGATGATCGCGCATAAATTTATTATGATGAAATTACTCAAGAAATTAATCATTTATGAAATAAAAAAAATTCATAAAAGTACTTGATGTGAAAGCGTTATTGTGCAGTGATTTTTACGGTTACGTAAAATCTAAGTTTTTCTCTTATTGCAAAATAATTACGTACAGCATTTAATAAACGTTGAATATTTATTTTTGTTGGTTTATCTATGTTGGTTTATCTATGTTATTTATGTTGGAAGATCTCAAAGAATTGAGGCAGCAGTTTGCTTATGTAGGAAAGCTTTTTAAAGGAGGATCTTCTTTTAGTAGAAACTCGATTATATTATTCTCGCGAGACAGAAAACGAAGAAAATCCGCCCCGCGGAGGGATGGTATAAAATAAACCCGCTATTTCGCCATTCACGAATAGATTTGTTCGGGGTTTCGAAATGAGCTGAGAAATCGTCGCGAACGTTGAATTTTTTCCCATAAAATGCTCCCTAGAGAAAAAGGACGGATGCAGCCCCGCTCTTGCTATATATAATACGGAGGGTGGAATCGGTTTCTCGGATTTTACGAACTTTCGATCGACAACTTGCTTCTTTACTTCCTCTCTCGCCGCTCTCTCTCTCTCTCTCTCTCTTTCTCTCTCTTTCTTTACTTTCTCTTCATTCTTTTCTCGACTTCCTTCTCTCACGTTCTCATGTCCCTCACTAAGACGTTTGACGGAACTTAGAATATAAACGAGCCGAAACCCCTCATCGGTACGTCAACTCGAACACGGGGTATGGGATGATAGATCGACTTTTTAGACGACACCGTGAAGATATAAATGCATACCTTTGAAAGGATGTAAACTGGCGGGTTTGCCGGGATGATCTTGGTAAAATAGCTTCAATTATAAAGATGATAAGAAATGTTTACAACATATTCCAATAAAAAAATTTTTCATGTAAAAATATTATATTATTATATTTGAAATATATTGTATATTATGTTTTCTTTTTTTTATATATATATTTATAATCTTTGTCTATATATGTATGTACACTAGTGCTCAAAATTTGATAAGTATTTTTTATGGACAAAGTTAATGACATTGGTCACCCGCTTTAATTTAGCTAATATTCAATATTGATATTATATGAGTACAATATTTAGTATAGCGAAATTAATAGAGTTTGTTAAGCATACTTTTTTGCTACAAAAAATGTGCTTAAGGAATGATTCAAAAATTTAACACATAGGTTTTTTCTTCAAGATTACATTTAGAAATTAAAATATGAGATTACAGATATTGTTTGACATTTTATGATATAAAGTATTGCAAAAACACAACGTAAAGAGTACTCAATAATTTAAAAAGGCTTTTTAAAAAGCTGTAATCCTCACATTAAGGCTGGAAGATCGGTTAAAATTTGCATGAGTTGGATAAAACAGACTTTTCAATTTCAGATGGTATTATGTCTTTAAATGAACTTCTTATAATATCGTTTTGTCTCACTTAAACACTTATATTGTCCTTATCTAACATGTTGAAGCGCCATCTTTTGCAAAATCTGGCACTTACTGTTGGACGCAATTTTTGCTCTATCTACCATTCTGTATCTTAGCTAATTGTAAGCATACGAATTACTATAAATTACAGTCGTAACGATATCTTTTTTTCTACGCTTTTAATCGTAACTCAAAAGGCTTTGTATTATTCGTTCATACATATATGTAATCCGATGCAAGTTACTTATTTTGTATATATGAACTACAGAATTTTTATATTAATCAAACATTTACGTCAGGGGATAGTATGATCCGAAAAAATGTAATTTAAAACATTTTTTCGTTGTTACTACAAATTCGTAGCTGGCGTACTTAAATTTTATGTCTATTTCAATCCTGTAAAAGCGTTTTCAATTCCGTTCAGTTATTTTGGAATTATTGTTATGACTGCAATATGTAATTCCATCTTTTCAGCATCGCCTTAAAAAACGGACGTAATCAAGCTGAGGTTGCTCACAATTTTGGGATCTCTTGTCAATTAGTAAATGTCTGGAATTATCTATATAGAATATGAAGCATGTAAATAATAAATTTCGGCAAGGGCGACCTAAAAACAACAATAAGAAAATATAGATTATAAAGAGGCAATCAATTACTGATCCTTACAAAAATGCATGACAAATTACTGAAGATTTACAGCAGAAATATGAAGTGAATGTTTATGTTTTCTTGTAAAGCGTCTATTAGTTGTTAGATCAAGGCTAGTAGGCCTTTAGTCTTCGTCTAATTGTAAGCAAAAAATCTTTCATTAGTATCAAACATAGAAGAGTTAGAATTGTTTTTGCAAAGTTTAACATTTGAACAACCAAGGAGCTCCAAAGAGTTATGAAAGTAAATTCAATCTGGTGTCCTCTGATAGTATAAAGTATGTTCGTCGCTCTAAGATTGAGAGATTTAAAGTATTAAATACTTACTGTAAAACATAGTGAAGGACGTGTTATAGAATAAAGATGCTTTTAATAAAGGGGCGTTGGTCCTCTATAGCATATAAAAAACATGGATTGTTTTGTTTTTATTTTAAATAAACATATGTTATCTTATGTAAGAAAGAATATGCTTCAAAATTGGATATTCTAACAAGATAATTCTAAACCGTTCTAAATAAAAAAAAAAAAATTCTAAAATCGCTCTAAATTTCTGTTAAACTATTTTATTAAAAAATATATACATATACATATACATATAGTACATATGTATACTCACTCGCAAAAAAACCGGGCACCTAAATTATAGCTCAAATTTTTAATATCTTCCAGTAGCAGTAACTTTATGAAAAATCATCGTATCAAGATGAACCTTAGCAAATTAAAACTTGAATATTCCCCTTGATAACTAAGAAAACCAAAATTGAATTCCAGAAATGCTTTATAAAATGGCGGACGTTAAAGACAGGCTTAGAAAAATAGGACAAAAATTTTTTATTTAAACTATTGCACTGCTTAGGGAAGTCAGCTGCCTGGCATAAAAATTTATGAGTTTTCAAGCTTATTGATTTCCTAACAAATCCATTTTTTGATCACTTTTTTACTATTTTTTTGACAAAGTTATAGTGTTTTAAAAAAAGTGTTACAAAACGAACTATTTTTTCTTGTGATCAGCTGAGTCCAGATATGAATCCTATCTGTCTCTTATA